TACTTTCAAAATTTAATGACCTCTCTTTGTGGAACTTCCTTCCTTTTTAATTAAATTCCATAACGTCATGGCGGAAAGTGCGGGCTATTATTGAAAACAAGTTTTATTAAAGTTCTGATTGTATAAAAAAGAATTCGCTTTGACGTAAAATCTCTGTTGACAACCGGATGACGTTATTAAAGAATCGTTCTATAGTTTATTTTTTATTTTTTATAGTCGTAATAATCTTTTTGCTTTGATGTCAATATGTTTATTTCAGTGAATACATTAAACATTACAAATGAATGTAACATTAGTACTTGGGTGATATAACTCGGCTTTTTATCTATGCTAATATTATAAATTAAAAAGTTTGTCTTGTCTTACTGTCTGTCACCTCTAAACAGCTGAATGGAATTTGGCATGGAGATAGATTGTATCATAAGCACGGTAATAGTGTATATTTTATCTAAAAAATGTTAGGACATTTAGATATTTATTTACAAAAGAAATATTTTTTCTCTTTATAATATTAATATAGATGATTGGGATCAAAAAATGATATTGATAGATGTAGTATAAATCTGTTTTAGTGAAAGTATAAACTTATTAATTATTATATTATACAATTATTAAAAAGAGAATATTACATAGTATAAATAAGCTAAGAAATTTGTATACATTATATACCTTGATCATAATAATATGACCGTCCGTAGATCACCAGCAGGATGGTCGTCTATGAACCATGGGTCGACTTTTTGGTAACAGTGTCGAAATATCGGTAATCCTATTTACATACTCGTAATACGTACAATTGTGATAAAAGTAAGTAATGTAAACAACTGTGAAGAAAGTGTAAAACAATTTTTAATGAATTGTTAGTAAAAATATCTAATGATCATGAGCTTTACACGGTTGGTGGTTAATTGGACTATGTACTAAATAATTATGATCTGTTTGCACACTGTTACGTTAGACGAATTATGTATCCGATACAGTAGTCGTTATGACGTGAACTGAATATGGTTTGATTAATGAGTGCAAATTTAGGTAAATGTGGATACAACAACTTGTAAGATTATATCGTAAAGATATGAAAGCTCCGTTCATACCAAAATAATTCTAAGACCACAGATAACATATGCTAAGACAGTGCTTGTACGCTACTAACATAGGGTTGGAATTCTCAGTAAAAGAAATTAATATAAATGTTCCTGATAATGTACCAACCCAGATTGACTTCTGCCTTCATATCGCCTATAGTTATTACAGTTTAGTTAAAAATATAAAATAGTAAAATTACTAAATTACTACTTACGTTTAACAACAATGGGCTCATGGTTTTTATTGGGTCTTGCTTAAAACAATTACTATCCATAACAACAGTTTGAAATTTACTTAAAATAAAACTTTAATAATAATAAAGTTAAAGTCCATTTGTATCTAAGCCTGGTGTTCTAATGATTAAACAGTCTATCGAGTAAAAGGCTCCTTAGCTAAGATTAATTGGGGGCCGCGAGGGCCGCAAACTCTTACCATTTTATTTATGAGAGAGGAGAGTGTTTTTTCTTTATCTTCGTGTAATCTTAGCTGACCGCGCCATTTGTAATTTGGAGGGTGAATCTGAAACCTTCTTTGAATGAAGTGTACATCAAATAGATCTTTGTAACTTTTGACGAAGGCGTTTTTATTATTCGATTAATGATTGACAATGAATCAATAAAAAAATGCACGAAACAACACAAATTATGATGTTTTGGTACTGATGTCATTCTTATTTTCAATTCAAATTTGACACTGCACACTTTCATCTAAATAATTGTTATAGATATGTAATATTATGTTATCTTTGTTATGGATCAGTACAATTAAAATTGCCTTAAATATTTAAAGAAATTATTAAAAATAAAAGATATTAGGAATTTAAATAGATACAAATTATTTGTCGTAAATTACAGAAACTAATGCCCTGCAGTGGCCGACGATGATGATGATGATGAAAGAAAGTAATTATTAGAAATATACAATAATCTAGAAATTCAACAAACATTAAAACTATATTACTTTTTTTTATTTTCTTGTATGTAAAATACAAAAGTGAATAACATATTTTTGGGTGCATTATAAATAACATACGTAGTAACTAAGAGCGAAACTTTTGTAGGAGAAATAATGTAAACATTGTATAAATTGGAAAAAAAAACATTTTTTAATAGATCGATAATCTATCTACTAAAGTGTATTTGTTCTTTTTTTATCTCAGGACCATTCCCACCATATCATCCAATTCCCAATCTAAATCAGTCGCAAGTTAAACTTGTGTTCTGGGTACTGGACAACTGATACAAATACATGTATACAATATATTATTTTTGTAAATACATACATAGTATATGTATATCAATATATATATTTATATATATATATATATATAATAAACACCCAGACTGATACAAATAATTATACTCATTAATACACATTTTGTACCGTGGAAGGAATCGCCATCACCAATCACCACCATAAAGAGATATTGGAGGCAGCATTGAATAAACAAATCTTTATGTTTGAATTCAGGGATACTGATGCGTAATTTCGTAGTTTAAAAAAAATTGCATAATCTTACATTCATCATAAAAAAAACCATAGTGGCATTCATAATATAATTTAGAAAAGGTATAGATAATTCAAATCAGTATGGTAATAACAATTACGGCTTAAAATTTCCAGCAATCGAACACAATTGGAGACTTTGTTGTTTGCACGAAACTTTTTTGTAAAGCAATGAAAAGTTTACAGTGTTCCATAGGAAGTAATGCTTCGTAGGAAGTTAAAAGAGACATTGAAAAGACATTTCAATTTCGTTAATAAAAACTTAGCATAAAAAAGTAACAAAAAAGCAATGAGAGAGTGAATCAAACTCTGCGGTAATATCATTTCTTTGTTTGACTTTTATCAATTTTAAGATATTGTCTTCTGGTTTATTATTATTGGTCCAAGGAGGATAATTACATTTATATATACATCAGTACACTTAAAAACTCGCAATTTTTATATTTCGTCAGAGCTATTTACGCGCGATACGGTTGTTTATTTTGTATGTAAAGAGAAATAGAAATATTTTTTATTCGGATAAACTTACATCACATTTTTATTCGGAACGCAGACTCATCACAAGAAGAATGAGCAAGAAACTTGCTCATTCATACTTGTAAATGAAATAGGAAGCTACATTGAACACCGACTATGCACAGAGTATTCAGAAGCTGCAGTTCAGAATAGTATAACTCGGTTTGCATGTTAGACGCAACTGAATTAAGAATCTTGTAGTAGTACCTAATGCTCTTTGCACTAATAGTGTACATGCCAGAGGTCATATAAGTAATAGATGATAGTGAATTAAAGTAATTTATATTGCATTCTTTAAATGAGTTTTATTTTTTCAATAATTACTGAAAGATATTAATAATCTGAATCTGAATCATGAATTTAAGGACATCCTGGAATTATCTTTAAATAAATTTAAAATATCTGTTAAATCATATATATTGAGCAAAGCCTATTACTCAATAAACGATTACTTAAATAACATAAGTGTGTGGTAATACTTGTTCATGTACGGAATTTTCCTTTAATGTTAGACATAGACACCTACATAAATACGCATTATAAATAAAGTGGATTTAAAAAAATGAAATTCTACTGAATTTCTTGTCAGTTCTTCTCAATTCAATCTGTATTATGGAAATAACATTAATATAAAAGATATGACGTTCATAAGCGGCTAATATGAATAAATGATTTTTGTTTTGTATTGATTTGATTTGATAAAGACACAATAATACCATGCAATTTGTCAGCACAATGAAAGACATTAGAGAGAGTTTGACCAAAAGTGTTGGTCCAAATGTATCAAGTAGCTCAGTAAATAACGACAGACTAACAAACGTAATTTATCTTCTGTGGTCGGACACAGTCGCACTTTAATTAAGAGTAATTCACCAAAAATGGAGGACCGCACAAATGCTGATTAAATTGTTGCAATCCTGACGGGTTATTGCGGATGAGATCAAGTGGAAACATTGACACAGTAGAGATTTAGGCCAAATTCTTTCCTTTCTTGTGTCCTTAGAATGTCTATTGTCGACGTTTCAGCATTAAAGGATCAAAGAATGGGATAAAGATAAAATTTCTCGCTAAATATCATGTAATACTTTCCGAGGTTAGATAAAGTGTAAAGGGAAAAATTTGAATAATTTATTTCGTGTTGATACTATGCTCTACAGTGCTTATGTTATGTTATATCACAGATAAGATAAAATTTTGTATTTCATTTACAAGAGAAAACTTCTATTATAAAGTATTCAAATTACGGTCTAACATAAGAAAATATTATTTGTTACTCTAATCCCCAAAGTTTTGTAAATATATTAATTACATAATAATTATGTACAACTCTTGTAGAGAAGTAATACTTAATAGTAATCATTTTTTACATATTAATATAGTTAAATAAAGATATTTACCTCTCTCGACGTTTCGGTGCACTAGACACGTGACCACGGATAGTAGGTACTAGCTGACTGGAGTAACAGGGAATATTGGCTTTCGGAGTTACTCCAGTTGTAAGTTTAAAGTAATAAAAATATTCCTTTCAAACCCCATTTAACTGAATTATTATAATGTAGTATAGATAATTCGAATTCTGATAATTTAACTTATTAAAAAAAAATATGAAGTATCTGTTCATTAATAAATTTTGGTAAAGCTCATGGTGCCTCATCTGGGGATAAATATAAACAAATTATAATATGTCAGGAATATAGGTAGTAAAATAAATTATTTTAATATAAGGTAGTTGTGTCAGTGTGCCATTTGGCTTTATTTGTGAATAATGTACCAGAATTGGCTGACAAAATTATTATAGAAGAGCGAATCCGCTGGTAAAATCTAGTCAAAAATAAATAATCGACATTTACATACATAATATTTTAAGTAATTGTATTCTTCTTTACAGAATCATGGATCCGGAATTCATGGAAGAAATGGGCGAGCTGACCACTCCTCGAACCTTTACCACTGTGTTCACTTTGGATGATTTTAGTCAAGACTTCGGGAGAAATTACAGCAACGCCACTGATGGGAAGGTTGACCTGAATTACTACTATTTTTATGACGTGAGTACTAGTTTCCACCTAGAATCTAAAATAATCGATTGCTCTAAATTTTATATGACGCTACCTAGTTGGCTGTTTATGTTTTGTATAAAAAATGTTGGTACACTCATATTAGTTCTCAGGCAACAATATCTAATTTATTAGTTTTCACTATTTTTAGGTGTTTATGTTAGTTTATTTAAAGGTGCTTATGGTGCGGTTTTTTAATTATACACTACTGACTGATACCCGGAATGTCATCTGCTTTATTAGTAACAATAAATAACAATTTATTTTCAAGTCAAAATTAATTCAATTAGGTCGTAATGTAACAAAAAAACGAACGAGGTCGAATAAAATCAAAAAATACTTAACTAATTTACACGTGGATTATGTTATGCTTCCGTCACTATGCGTTAAGATCACTATACTAACATTACTATTTATATATAGATATATGTGTCAAAGTTCAATAAATAAATATAACCTAGTAATAATAGGAAGCGGCACGGCACGGTAGATAATCCTATAAGATTAATGTCAATACATGGGGCTAAAGATTAAGCACAAGAAACGAATTGCGAGGAAAAATCATACCGACATTTATTACATGACGCTAACGTGATTAATACCGTAGCTTTATATATTGTTAATACTTACAGTGAGGGAAAATGAAAAAAATATAGTTTATACAAGTAATACATGCGACTTTGTCCTCCTGATTGCGAAGAATTAGCCTAGAAAAAGTAGAAGTAGTAAATATGGTAAACATGAAGTATATAGTATTATGACGCAAAAACAAACTAATTTATGTTAATTAATAATACTAGCCAAGCTAAAACTGACTGTCATGATATTTCCATGATTATCCATGATCAAACATTTCATACATATTGGTAAATTATCATATGTGCAGATTATTTCCAACGAGCGTTTTCAATTTTGGTTACTAACGGTTAAATACGTAAATAAATAATGTACGTTTGATATTTTTTTAATAATAATTTTAAATATGGACCGCCGAATATAGGGTTGCGATAATGTTATGTTTTTTTTTTGTTAAATAGATTGGTGTTATTATGAAGGCAGCAACTGCATATCTCGCAAGGATTGTGTCACTAGGAACAAAATATTTTTTATATGAATCTGTTAAAACATTTTTTTCTCAGCAAGGCATAGGTACAACAAGCAATTGTTTGGATAAATTCATTTTAAAGGGATATAAACCCTTCATATCTAATATGAAATATGTATATCTATATCTAATATGTAAGCCCCCCTCGATAAAATATAATATTTTTTGTGTCATATGGTGCAAACTTTATTATTTTAGAATAATTACCGGCTTTTACATAGATTTAATTCTCATAAGGGGTAATCTTATGAAACGTAATGTTTGTTTGCAAAAATATATCAAATTTACCAAACATGATACAGATTAAAAAAGTTAATGAACATTATTTTTACCTTAATGTGCATCTTGCAAGATATAATGATAAAAAAAATTGCTCTTAAACATCTATGAATTACAGTATGTTTAGAACATACTAAAGTTTATTATATATTTAGAACATACTAGTGTAAACATAGATTACCACTTATGAGAATTTTAGAACTACATATATGATGAATTATATATTAAGAGAGATACCACTTACTAAAAACAAAATATTCAAACTAAAATGAGCATTTATCAAAAGTCAGAGTGAAATCCCGCAGGTACTACAGTTGCTTGTAAAAACAACTCGTAACACAGCTTAAAATCAACATTATACATCTACGAGAGCAGATTCATTAAAATGCTATTAAGCAACTGTTATTCTAATAACTTATTCCATTCTGCTATAAAATACATACAAAGCTTTTATAGATAAATACTTTTTCATAAATATACGCTTGTACCTTCATGACTATATTCCCAGATGGGTTAGTCTGAGTTATTGTCAACTGTTGATGTTGTCATTATATAATACGCAACATGATTGCGTTTCGCTTACATTTTGATATTTATACTAATTCATTTTGTTCTCCATATTTCCGTTACTAGAGTGCAAGTCAGTTTTATTCGCAAAAATAGATAGATAAGATTTAAAATTATAATAATAATGATATCTCAGGACAATTTACACAGCGCCATCTAGTCCCAAGCTAAGCAGAGCTTGTGTTATGGGTACTAGACAACTGATATAAATACATGGATACATTTTTTTTGTAAATAAATACATATTATAAATAGAAAACACCCAGACCGATACAAACAATCATACTCATGAACACAAATGTTTGTACTATGCGAGGAATCGAACCCACGACCATCGGATAGTAAAGCGGTGTATCAAACCACTGGACCGCCGAGGCTGTCCGAGGCATATAAAAAGCCTATTTTTCCAAATTTACAATATTTACAATCTCTATATTGCAAAACTTCTGTCGGGGTTTGTCTGTAGTTTGACTATTTTATTTTATTCTAAATACGGAATAAGCTATCATATTTTACGTCAGACTACGATAAAGTGTTAATGAACTTTTTTACCACTGAAAGCCAAATTGAAAGCCTGACTACAACGGAAGATGACCACTACAATATCGATAACGTTATCAGCGACAGCCACTCGTGATAACATGCGCACCGAAATATCCATTACACGATTAAAACCTTTCAGCTTTTATTACAGCTGTAATCCACATGAAATGTAGTGGGTGTGACAAGATTTACTCGCTTTCATGCTTCTCATTTTGACCAACTACTTGTACACAAAATAAATTTATGTCATTGGTTTGCCAATGTGAAATTAATGTGAATTGAGAGAATGAAATCCATACTAATATTATAAATATGAAATATGAAACACTCGGGTAAATTTTTGGTTTCGAGAAGTTGTTGAAATGAAGATCCACATGTGTTTTTATCACGGCAGAATTAGCGAGAAATATAAATTACAATACAAAGAATTGCTTTTTTGGTATCAGCCCAATTTGAAACCACGACCTTGGGAATAATTCAGGGTAGTTAACTACTACGTCACAACGCTCGCTCAATGGAAAATTAATCTCTCTCTATTACGTTGATTCATTCAATTACTACATATTACATAAAAATGTGGTAGTGACATAGTCTATTTTTAGGATATAGGCTAGATTTTTAACCTCCTCTGGTTGTTAGAAATAGAATATAAATAGTTTCGTCGGTACTTGTTTAGCGCCTCTGTAGAAATAAATAACTATACAGTCTGTCATATAGCCAAAATGCATCTGCACAGGCCTGTAACACTTCTTTCTCATATATTCCATCAGTCAAGTAACTAATTTTAATTCCAGCTTCAAGACTATTGAAGTTACTTGTTACAGTAATTTAAATAACACCTTAGTCTTGGCGAACTGTTGTGGAGTTTGCTTGTTTTGCTCAGTTAGGGTAGGCAGTAGGATTGTTTTTTTTTTATGTATCACCATGAAAAGATGCACCCGTCTACGCTAACAGTACAGTGGATGATAAGATAAGAATAAAGTCACCCATAAATTTTTCATAAATTTACCACAATGGTTTTCGAAGGCACCGCGTGGAGGTTGATATGTTACTAGTAATATCAAAATCCCATAAGGAGGAAAGTGGATTATTAGTGTTCTGGGCTGTTGACGGGCTGACCTCCACGCGGTTTTCCCTGGAAACCATCGTGACAAATTCTTGACGACTTTGTTGAGATGGCTTACTCGTTAGAGCAGTCTGGGGCATCATTCTATTATCATCCATACAAAAAAAAATCAAAATCCCTTTTTCTTCCTATTTAACTTATATAGGAAGAAAGAGGGATTTTGATTTTTTATTAATAATACATACAGGATTTTGCTCAAAAAATACATGAAGATAGTGTCTACTATAAAATATTTAAATTACATGAGTCTGTGAGACAATCATTTCCAGTATTAAGGTATAAATAAAGCTTTACCTTACATTTGCGTATAACGTATCACATAATACATTTAATAGTTTGAGTGATGTTTACTTGGCAAATGAGATCTTATGGCATTCTATATTAGAATTTAAATTACTGTGATTTAGGTACAATAATATATTTCTATGATGTAGGCTTAGTAATTGTTTTGAATGAAACGTATAATATAAGTACAGACGCTACGTATAGGCAGGCCTATTTATAGTTAAACAGTCCTCTTTGCTGAATAATAAAATCGTGATGAGATAACAAATTGTCTGAAAATGGACCCTTATTATTATGTAATAATAAAGATATTTTTTATTTATTTCAGACTATCCAATTTACTGTAATGTGGGTGTTGTTCGTTGCTATTGTGGTACTCAATGCTTCAGTCATCGCCGCTCTTCTTTGTACCAATGCGAGGAAAAGCAGAATGAATTTCTTCATAATGCAGTTGGCTATAGCTGGTAAGTTGTCACTATGTATGATAATACTTTTTATTGACACAGCGCTAACAGCGCCAAGTTAAGCTAGCTAAAGCTTATGTCAGGGATACTAAATAACTGACACAAATACATAAGATATATATGTTTTTTTTTCGTCAATACATGCACCCACACCCAAACCGATACAAATAATCATGAATACAAAATCTTAACGGAGAGAACCCGCGAGCACCGGAAGTAAGGCGGTATGCCTTAGACCACCGAAGCCATCAAATATAAAATATAAATACTGATTCTCTTAAGTAAATATTACATTACATTTCCAACTTAATTTCGTTTGTTTCTCTAACATAGTTGTAATAGTTAAAACCAGATGGACTACGTATAAAATTGACTATGAAGATACCACTGTCCTGCCTAATTTTACGTACATATTATCACGTATTATCAAATATATCGGCACTGCGCATTAAGACTAGAGGGACTTTGTACATAGTCGTTAAAGTGGATACCTCAGGCATAACTAAATCTGACACCAACAGCTTGCACCTGTTTCTAGGGATACTGCACTGCAATAAGATGATGTAGAAGAAAGGTACATCAGTGGTAGCAATGCTTATGTGCTACTACTACAGCTGTTTTAATACATTTTATAATATTCGTGACGCTATATGTAGCTAGCTGTATATAATAATATTCCTGGCCATCTAGACCCGAGCTAAGCAGAGCTTGTATTATGGGTACAACTGATATAAATACTTAAATATATTTATTTATATATTATAAATAATGTATATAGAAAACACCGAGACCAGTAGCAAACAAACAATCATAGTCATGAATATCGTTTGTATCGTGTGAGAAATCGAACACGTAACTATCGAAATATAGCGTTAAACCGCTAAAACATCGAAGTTGTTAATAAAGCACCACGGACGTCACAAAATGCAAGTAATTGTAATAATAACTAAGCTGACAGACCACGTAAAACTAGTTTTAGGTACACGTTTTACTTATTTACCATTAAATATACTATATACCCGTATCTCGATAAACTTTAGCGAGTTACGGGAAATTCTATCTGATTCTATCATAGAGCCTAACCCGCATTTAGATGTTGATCCGATTCAATTTGATACATAAGTGCAGATACGTTGATTGATACAACATTTTTAGTGTTCTGTAGTCAACTGGCAAAAATAGTGCGCCCTTGACTTGTTTGTTTTTTTTACACGTACACGATATATAAATAACTTTAGCACAAAAATATTGACCAGGAAAACACAGAAACATTCATCAGTACGTAACACTACATATACGATCACTCGATCGAGTTTGACCGTTAGAGATTTATTTTTAGTTTTATAAAGCAATGCTTATATTTGTACAAGTTATAATATATGTTTAGATCATTGATTGACTGAAAATTATAAAATGTCACTAATAAATAGATATAAATTAGGTTGATTTTATCATCAAGTTCTCGCCATTTTGTCTTTACGAAAATTTATATCCTTTTACGTTTACAGTAATTTTTTTTTTAGATTTATTTTACAATTGAGGTTTAGTAGTTAATTAGTAGTTTCGTACTTTTTTCGTAATATCACATACTTACACATAAAGTACTTAGTTATTTCTACTATTATATACGACTAGCGACCCGTCTTCGCACGGATGCATTACAGATATTTTAATTTCTCGGCTTGTTCTACACTATAACATACATATAATATATATAAATCTTTTACTTAAATCAGTGTCTATTGGCGGCGACATCATTTTATAATTCACATTTCGTTTATTAACCAATGTAAAAATTCTTGTATGTTGGCATATCATGACATACAATAATTTATACAAATTCAATCTAAATTTATAAAGATGTATGATTCAAATTAGGACATCTATAATCACTATTTCAGATAAATAATTTTAATTGTATCTTATGTTATAACCATTAAAGGACCTGAAGGATCCCATGGGCATTTCTAAGGATCTAGAGGGAGTCTTCAGTCCTTCATTCAATAAATCCCATCAACACATTTCTGTTCGTCAAAGGTCATCGTATATTTGATTTGAGTTTAAATGTAATTATTTATTAAAATATCAATTTCAATAGAGTAAACAATGACTACTGCGTAGAATATTAAGAGGAGCTTATTGATAAAATGTTCATTCAATATGAAGATATTTGACATCGTGTTATAATAGAATTTATTCCGTCGTAAATAACTGTCAGGAAAATAAGATTAAAATTAAAGACGCCCCGGAAAATCTCTGTTAAATGGTGTATAAGAAAATTATTAATAAAACTTTGTTTATTTTCAATAATTACAAAAAAACCTTGAATCTTAATTAAATGAAAATTATATTGAAGAAATTACGATAAACAATAAATCTAAGTTGTCGTCGTTGGGGTCATCTTGAAGACTGGCAATGGATCCACTTTTTATGGTCAGACTAATAAATAGATATAATATACTTTCATTTGCATTATATAAATTTAGAAGATTTACGGCCTGAGTGGTCAAGAATTCGGTTCCAAAGGTTGCCTGTCAGTTTACACGATCTTTGTAAATATTTGTCTGATTACAACAATCATATCTCCTATTGGAAAGAGGTTTTTATATATATTATATATGTTCAAAAAATATCTTTAAGTACTTATAACAGTTCTCTAGTTCTCATAATACAAGCTCTGCTTGGTTTCGTACTACATGGCACTGTGTGAATTGTCTACGATTATTATTATTTAAGTAGTGAATTAAATACAAATATAACAGGGCTGCGATCACATAATACGTCGATTAGGCGGTCTGTGATTATTTTTAAAAACCTCCAATCCGCAAAGCTCTATAGTTTCAACTGTAACAAAATTTTATTTCATACATTTTGTGTACCATAACTAGCTAGTGGCCATACCCACACTCTATGTGTTCAGTAGAGTTTACCAATATTCGTTTATAGCTGGCCTAACCGTTATAAGTAGAACCTGGTTTATAGTCGCATCGTGGCGTAAAATATCTCAGCCTTATTGCGAATTTTGTTCGCCAAACTTATGTATTCTATAAGTTTTTTCCGCAGTGCGTAGCCAAATTTCTTTAGGCGTAGACATCATAGCGTGGACATTCTTATTCGTATTACAAAACATCAAAACTAACTAGTTTTTTAGATTGAGTTCCTTAGATCTGCATACTTAACTTGATATATTATTCATTATATATATCTACTGTAACATATTAAAATTACAATTCGTTAATCAATAGTTTATTTCTTGAACAACTTATACGGTTAGTTATAAAGATGACAGACAGATTCATCAAATCATTGTATAGGTTTGTTATATTACATATACTTAATATTGCTTCTTTTATCTATACGTCAAAAAACGTGTAATTGTTCATCCTCAGCCAAATCCTTTGTTTGCAATCGCAACAGTCAGTCAGAGATAAATTTAATATTTTTGAACATGGAACGCCGAACGTAATCTTTCTAGTGCGAGGTATATTTATTAATTTATTTTTAATTGTAATCTTCATTGTAGTTGTATTAAAACACTTCAGGTGTAAATAGTCATTTTTGTGGAAAAATTATCTACCTAATAAGTATACCTACCTAATAGTATTACCTATTAGTAGTAGTTAGGTATTACAATAGTATCTGCCTATAAATACAAGGTAGAAAGATGAGGTTTTCTAAGCCTAAAAATTGACAAAGCAGACGTTTCTCTAATGTTGTTCAAAGTGTAATTTCATAAATAACGCTGAAGTTACATTTTGTAATTTATCGAAAAAAATATTGTCCCAATTTTACCTTAGAACGTGGCCTCGTGAAAAATTGGAAAAAAATCATAGCCGTAAATAATATAACGTAGATTGGAGAGAAAAATATCAGTATTACGTTATGATTGTTGTTGAATTCAATATGGAGTTACAATACGGAACACTGATTGCACAAGTACTTAATACTGAGAAGGTTTTATTTTACCCACCTACGCAGGATGCGGTAAAAGTAATGTTTATTTTCATTTATCTGATTTTTTATATTATGACGTACTAGTATGTAATATTAAGTTCTCTGTGTTACTAAGCGTTGCTATTTCAAAGGACTAAAATACTCGTATCATGCGTCAATACTTTGTAATTGTGTTACCACATCGCAACCTTTTACCAAGCAACTGTTGAGGAAATCAAATCTAATGTATGTAATGTAAAAAATAGAATGGTATAAAAAATAACATATTCTATATTTTCACTACTATATATTTTTATATGCATCTGCAACTATTAACCAAGTAAATTACAGGAATTATAAAAAACACTGAAGTGAATTAACAAATTAACAAAAGTAATTTATTTTACACTATCCATGTCCTTTCACTATGTATATTATAATTTATAAATTTCATTAACAAAGTATCTCATCGACGTAGATGAAGCTAGTCTATTTATAAAATTAAAATTCTTTACAAAGTTGAATGAAAAACAGTCTATTGTATTTATTTGTGTTTAAATTACCAAGTAAAATATAAACAAGTTGTTTTGTTTGTAGCATGATAGTAATATTTACTGTCTACTGAGTCTTTGTTAAAATTGTAATCTCTCACTACAAAGACTTCTCGAAGTGATAGACCGTTAACTATTTTTTTTTCTAGTTAAAAAAATAGACTGCGTCGGGAAAGTGAAAAATGAATTATTAATTTCGTAAGTAAGCAGTCTACATACCATACCTACATATTATATTATTCTATAACAATATTAGAATTAATAGGTGCATAATAATTACAATTAAATTATATCTGATAAACAAAAAATATATACTTCTAATCGAAATTAAATATCAAAAATGTAATTATTATATTAACAACAAGTAGAAATAATCTTTAGCCAGTGGATAACAGTGTTTATTAATACTTGTAAACGCGTACTGTTTGAACGGAATATACACTTTGGTTAATAAATACAGAAGCTTAATAGACATTACAGCACTTTCGAGTCTCAAATCAAAAGTACTATAATAAT